GGACGTACATGACGTCGCAGACCTCCCCCTCCTCCTCCTCCTTTTCCTCCTCCTCCTCCTCCTCCTAATCCTCCTCCCCATCTGTCCTACCTACCTCCTCCTCCTCTTCCTCATCCTTCCTCTTCCATCGCTCCTCTTCGTCCTCATCCTTTCTCCTCCTCTTTTCTCTTCCTCCTCCTCCTCCTCCTCCTCCGCCTCCTCCTCCTCTCTCTCCTCCTTCTCTTCCTCCTCCTCCTTCTCCTCCTCCTCCTTCTCTTCCTCCTCCTCCCCCTCCTCCTCCCCCTCCTCCTCCTCCTCCTCCTCCTCCTGCTGCCGCCTCCGCCCGACTGTGCTCGAGCACCCCAGAGGGGGCGCCACAGGCGCACGGCGCCGCGCGGGCCGTCCTCCGAGAAGGCCACGGACTTCCAGGAGCCGCGCTCCTCGGCGGCGCCGAACAGCCGCCGGCGGCCGGCGGCCGGCGGCCGCGGCGCCGCAGAGGTCGACGTCGCCGCCGCCGCCGGCGTCGCTGTCGCGGTAGACCGGGGGAGAGAGGGGGGGTAGGGGGGGGGAGGGAGGGGGGAGGAAGGGGGGAGGAGGGAGGGAGGAGGAGTTCGTGGAGGATAGGCGAAGCGAGAGGACGAGAAGGAGGAGGAGAGGAGGAGAGGAGGAAGCAGAGGAAGGAAGAGGAGGAGAGGAGGAGGAGGAGGAGCAGGAGGAAGGAAGAGGAGGGGGAGATGGAGGGAGGAGGGAGGGAGGCAGGGAGGGGACGAGAGGAGTGACAAGCTAGGTGCGTTCGCGTCATATCTGACGTCCTACCCCTCCCTCCCATCCCTCACCATTGTGTAGATCTCCTCTCGATTCGCACAGTCGGATGTCGAGCAAGGCAATGTTCCCGAGAGGGTGCGCGATGCATCGTAGAGCACGACATAGCAATGCGTAAAAGGGCACGGCAGAGCGTAGTATGTCATAGCATGGCGTGGCGTGGCGTAGCGAAGAATTGCATCACAATGCATTGCAACGCAAATCATGGCATCGCACACCGGCACAGAACATAACATGGTATATCATGGTGTTGAAGATCAAACCGTAGCATGGCATAGCATGGCGTGGCACTGCGTAGTCAAACACTGCACATCCTAGCATTGCAGCTGAAGGCATGGCATCGCACAGAAGAACACCACATAGCATTGCATTGCATGCCGTGACATGGCACTGGAAATAATGTCGCCAGCGCTGCAGCGGGAGCACGACTCGTAACGAGCGGAAGCGCGAAAATGAGGCCAACGCTTCAGCGGGAACACCAATTTGCAAAACAACCCGAGCGAAACAAAACCCTCCCGGTAATCCTGTGTAAAAAACAATACGGAGGGGCCCGAACATCTTCCGTTCGTCATCAGGGGAGAGGAGAGTAGTATTCACATTGTGTAATTGTGGTAGGAGGAGGAGGAGAAGGAGGAGGAGGAGGAAGGGCAGGAGGAGGAGGAGGAGGAGGAGGAGGAGTGATGGGGCAGGGGGATCAAAAACCAAGACCAGCAGGGCACGGGCACCAATTGGCAGCTACAAGAAACATGCAGCAGTCAGCGTCGGTGGGGCCCCAGGCCCATGGGAGGCCACCAAAGAATCGCAACAGCCGAATGTAGTGAGCCACGGGACCCCAGGATAAGGCGGCGAGAAAAAGCCGCAACAACTGCAGCCATCGGCAGTGACCACCTCCGGGGCGCAACCTTGAACATCCTCTGGGCACTCTCGGGCCTCCCAGGCTCTCTTGGAACCGCTTCGGCACCAGCCTGTGATCTGCTGGCGGGCCCTGGGTCGGAGGCGCACCGCCGACCTGGGTGCTGGTGTCAGCCTCTGGGCCTGCGCTTCGTCCCCGCTCTCTCCGTACCCGCCCCGACCGCCCCTCGCTGGACGCGCTCCGCTCCGCTCCGGCGCGCTCCCCCGCGGGCGGCGGGCCCCGACGGCGCAAAGGGCGCCGCCCGTGCTCGCCGAGCTCCAATATAGGGGGGGCTCTGGGCGGGAAGCCCCCCCCTGGGAGGCCGCGGCGCGGCGAGACCCCGGGAGGAAGCCCGGCGCCTGCGAGCGGCGGCACACACCCCAAGCGACGCCGGGCGGCGACGCGGCGCCGACCGGCGGCGGCGGCGCGCGGGCCTCGGGCGGCCGCGCGGCGGAGCCTCGGCACGGCCACCCCGGCGGCAAGGAGGGGCGAGGCGCGGCGGCTGCGAGCGGCGACGAGGGCGCACGGGCGGCCGCGCGGCGAGCCCGCGGCAGAGTCACCGGCGACTGCAGTCGGAGCCAGGCCGGAGGGGCCACGAGCAGGGGATCGACTGCGGCAGGGGCGGCCACGAGAGCGAAGCCGCGGCACGCCCACCCGGCGACAGCGAGCGGCGAGGAGCGAGCACAGGGGGACCGCGCGGCGAAGTCCCTACACCCCCCTGCACTTCCTGTAGGACTATACGCAGATCTCCTCCTCCATGTCCTTTTCCTCCTCTCCGTCCGCCTCCCCTTTCCCCTCCTCCACCTC